CAAAGTCGATCTTGTAATTATGCTGGTCTTGTGCTTCAAGTCCCCGATTCTGAATAAAGCCGGGTCTTCTTTCACCTTCACCATCGATCGATGCTAAGGAAGCAATATCGATTGATGCTGTTCTTGTGGTATCGACTCCAACTTAGCTGATTCTTGTCATCTACAAGTTTTTCATCCAAAAAGCTCCAAAAGTTTTTATAACTCCAAAATGAACCTAGAACCTAACATAATATAATATATAGCACAAAAAATAGACTCCCGCAGAATATTTATGCGCATACATCCAACTCCGAAGCTCGTAAATATCTCGAGACATATTTTTACTCTTATTTTGTTTTTTTTGTGTATTTTAAAAATGAGAACGAACAACATATTTATAGGAAAATTTTGATTTAGTAGGTGGGAATGTTACCACGAATTACGACCAAAATCAATTTACTACGAATCAACTAATGCGTAAATTAGTCGTAAATTAGATGCAAAATTATTTGTCGTAAATAAGACGTAAAGTAATGACTGCTTTATGACGACTGCAAAATTTCTTCGTAACATAGTCGTTCTTAATGTATGACTTATTTACGACGACTCTTGTTTTCGTTGTTATCAGTCTTTACGTAGACGTAAGATTACGACTATAGATATGTAGTCGTAATGTGCAGTCATTACGGCCACGTTTTCTTGTAGTGATTATACAAAAACAAATTGTTAACATATGTTAAAAATTTTATCTACAACAATATACTAACTTTTTATTTTTCACTTTTAAATTCAAAACAAGATAATATATAAATAATTATATAAAAATATAATAGTATGTAAGTAATTTCCAGTTCATGCTATAAAAACTTTGAAATTTTAATAATCCATTAATAATATTAATGACAAATCAATTTCACTTATAAATTTAAAATTTATTTTTAATTTTAATAAATTTATTGATAAAATAAGTCTTACCAAACTTTTATATATCTTTTTATAAATCATGCATTAATTTAGTTAAAAAATTAAATCAAATATCCTATACTATTCCAAACCTAAAGATATTTTTGTAATTTTCCATATTCTCGCTTTGTATTTTTAAAAAAATATTTTATCAACATAAGACCCAAAAATTTGCAAAATTACACAATTCTTTTAAATTTCAAAATAGTTGTGTAATTTTACAAATTCCCGCGTTATATTTCTGATTTATTTTTACAGCATTAATTACAAAATATGTTATTAAAACCTTAAGGTTTTAATAATCTAGTATATAAATGTCAACTCAATTTTACCTATAAATTTTAAATTTATTTTTATATTAACAAAATAATTGATAAAATATAATAAGTCTTTTTAAAAAATTTAATATTTTGTAAGTCATATTTCTAATAATTGTCTAATTTTATTGCATATCTATCAGTTTTGATTTTCCAGATCGGTTAGTAATTAATGTCCTATAATTTTCCAAACTAAAAACAATTGTGTTGTTTTTTAAATTCTTGTGTTACATTTTTGATTTGATTTTTACAGCATAATTTATTTTTCGTGTTACATTTGAAAAAAAATATAATTCTCAAAATTATAATATTCCAAAATTTAGAAAGGATAAAAGCCTAGATGGTAAGTTATATATTGTGAAGTGTAACACAAAAAAATAAACTTTGTTGTAAAATCAAAATAGTATAATACTTTAAAATATTAATTTAATAATAAAAAAAGTCAGAAACCTTCATTCCATGCCATCCAAATATCATATATCAATTAAATTTACTGAAAAAATATATTTCCCTAATATCTAACATATAACTTTATGGATGTAAATTATAATTTTGCATAATCAATATTTTGTAGCATTTAAAACAATTATCCTTTTTTGTACAGAATTGATTTTGACCCAAATTTTGTTTTCACTAATAAAAATTCCAATTTTGAAATATATTAGAAGATAATATTTCTCTTTGCAATGAGTACATAAATCTTGCATTATTTTCAAACTATTTGAAAAAAATAATGTATCTAGTCATAAAATTCTGTAATTTATTAAAATGCTATACACTACAGTAAATATATCTAAACACGACATGAAATATAAATTATCCTAAATAAAAAAATTTCTATAATATAACTACGTAAAATTTAAAAAAGGTATTATATGTAAACTATTGTAATTGCAAAAAAAATCATATTTGAATCAAATTTTTATTTGATTTTTTCAGATTATGAGTTTATCATATTGAACTCAGAAAAATATATTAGTATGTAATAAAAACTGATAACAAAGTAAATTATGTTTAAATAAAATTATTATATGTGAATAATTTGAAATAAAAATATAAAAATAATATTATAAAGTTACATTATATATAAAACTTTGATGTAAATCATATATTCCAAATGTTTACTATATGTCAAATCTATACATTTATAAAAATAAAAAATACCCACACAAACTCACAGATCAAACTCTAATATTATTTTTAAATACAAGTTTCTGATCATTCTACCCCAGATAAAATTTTTTCAAGCATAAAATTGAGAAAATTTCAAAACATATTTTATATATTAACTACCAAATCCCATATCTCAATTTAAAGTTTTCGTCCTATAGAAATGAATATGAAGTAGATAATTAAAACATATTACCTTTGTTTCAATTTATTTGTCATTGTACAGTAAATTTTTTGTTAAGTGTCGTTTTATAATTTCAATGCAAATTTATTGACTTTTTATATCATTCTATTTTTCTTTACCTGAAATGTGATTAGGTATATAGGTAATGATGTTTTTATTTTAAAAATATGTAAAATTAAATATTTTTCTTAATCTGCATGTAAAAACTTAAAAAGACAACTAAAATGAAATTGAAAGAGTAATAATTTTAATAATTGAAAAAGTCTATCACTGAATATATGCATTGCTAATTAGAGTAATAAATTAAGGAAAGCTTCTTTGAATCATAAGAATGTTAGTCTATAAAAATTTTATTTATAAAATTTAACAATGAGTAAAATTTTTTTTAACGCTGGATATTATGATATTACAAACCATTAGAAATGTTATGTACAATTTTACAGCTGGCAATTCTATATGTTTTGATAATATATCTTATGTCATGTTACAGATCTCTGGCAAATATCTTCTCTTTTAATTTGCATAATTTTGTTTTTACTAGAATTCAAAATCTAAACCTCCTGATATAGAAATATTAATAAATTCTTAATCAACCCATTGAATCAACAAGACTTTCACAACAAATGAGTAAATCATATGGATATTAAAATTTATTATTTTCAATTCATACACTTGAGGTTTTACAAATATTTTGTCAAGTCAGACAACACCGTCACCAACCAGAAGAACCAATTGAGGCATGTGGTTCACTGGTTCAATAAAACCGTTGAGCTCATTCTCTCACGTTTTATTTTGGCTCCACCTACCTACTTCAAAGATTAAACCACCCATCCTTGTTTCCTCTTCTCTGTCTTCGTCCTTTGTTTTTATTGTCTTTTTTTTTTTGACAACGTTTTTATTGTCTTTAAACACACAAATCATACACAGGTAATGAATGGTATTTTGATTTCTTTTTTATTTTCTCAAAATAATGATTCCATACCACTAGCTGATTATTAATATTATTATAACATTATATACTCTTTCTCTTTCATTATAAGTGTTATTTTAAAGTTGTGCACAAATATTAATTTTACATATTTTCCATGTAAAAACACAATTATCTATATATCTAACCACATTTTAACTAATAGAAAAAAATTATATAATAAAATTAATAAATTTTGCATTGAAAACTGAAAACAACACTTATATTGTAACGAAATTTTTTTTCTACAACGACACTTGATATGAAATGGAGGGAGAACTTTGTAATATTTGTCTGTATTTTTAGTTTGAGTTGTTAAATATTATTATGACTAAACAGTATTTAAATAATATATATTTATTGTTTTGTGTTTAATTATTTTAGTTTTTAACTTTTTCTACAAGTTTATTATTTCATTTTGAAAAAGTTAGTTAGTTTCATTTAGAAATTAAAATAAAACTATACTATTATATATCTCTGGGCATCCAATTATTGGTTCGATTCTACTTCAGTTTTTTTTGTTGTTCGCTTTTTTAATTCTAGATCCAATTATCAGTTTGATTCTACTTCAGTTTTTTTTGTTCTTCGGGTTTTTTTAGTTCTAGAGGTTTAGGATTCGTTTAGTATTTAGAAAGTTAGATTCAATTTTGATTTGGTTATTTCAGTTTGGATAACAAAAGTGGAAACCGATTTATTTTCAAAGTAATTTCATATCTCATTTTTTGTTCCAGTTAATTCAGGTTAATATTTTTTTTTTTAAATCTGATTTTTGGATTAAATATTAAATTTTTAGAATTTTCAGATAATTTGGATAATTCAAATAATTTTAAATAAATTTATTTTAATAATTCATTTTTATCATGTTTTATCTATATTATTTTAATCTATTATATATATTATATTTTATACCATTATTATTTTATCTATTAAATAATCATTCAATACTGTAAATTTATATTGTCACCAATCAAACAATATTTCATTATTTTTTACTTAAAATCATAGTTGTCTTTTACCGTATTTTAATTCTACACGAACCGCTGTTAGACTGTATTACACTTTAATTCCGTATCACTTTTATTACCGACGTCGCTTTTATAATCAACTATACAACTAGTTGTTTTTCTTAACTAGGTTTTTGTTTACAATCAGGTGTAGTAAAATTAAGAAATATTAATGACTGACTGAAGTGAAAATAGTTTATTTTGTGGCATAGTGAAAATAGTTTATTTTGATTTCTCTATCTATCTTTAATTCTTTGTTTTCACCGAGAAAAACAACGGAAACGCAACGCCACGTTTCACCACGAGTCGCAAATATAGCTCCTCTTTCTCTATAAAACGACGTTGTGACACTCTGAAACTCATCACTTTAACAAGCCAACTGTGACCGCAAGCTAAGGGAGAGAAAGAGAGAGAAAATGGTGCTAAAGGTGTACGGACCTCACTTTGCCTCACCGAAGAGAGCTCTGGTAACGCTCATCGAGAAGGGCGTCGCCTTCGAGACCGTCCCCGTCGATCTCATGAAAGGAGAACATAAACAGCCTGCTTATCTCGCCTTACAGGTTCCTTCCTCGACAACCTCTGTTTCTCTCTTTTCCTTTTTCAAGATTCTGATCATCTTCTTCGTTTCTTCCCATGCAGCCTTTTGGTACAGTCCCTGCTGTTGTAGACGGCGACTACAAAATCTTCGGTATGATCAACAACATATCTTGGTTGTTGTTTTTGTTGTTCTTATTATGTATTTATGGAGATATTAAGAGATGTTTTTTTGTTTTTAGAACTTTCTTACATATCAAACCAAGTTCTGTTTTAGCTCTGTTTGTCTGTATCTGAGTAGCTAAACTCATTTAACACATCTGAGAATCTTGATACAGTTTTAAGCTTATTAGATGTTTGATCTGTTAGCAGTTTTTTTTTTTTTGAAAAAAAAAGTTCCGCAGTTTTGGAATATTTTGATTGCAGAGATAAGAATTGTGTAGAAGCTGTTATCTTAGTTCTTGTTCTGTTCTTCTTTGTATGATGTATCTATGGGATGATCTTAATTCTTAAGAGATGTTCTTTTCAAATTTTGACAGAGTCACGTGCCGTCATGAGGTACGTTGCTGAGAAGTACCGGTCACAAGGACCTGACCTTTTGGGTAAAACCGTAGAAGAAAGAGGACAAGTAGAGCAGTGGCTCGACGTGGAGGCGACTACTTACAACCCACCGCTACTGAACCTGACACTTCACATAATGTTCGCATCAGTCATGGGATTCCCGTCTGATGAGAAACTGATCAAGGAGAGCGAAGAGAAGCTCTCGGCTGTTCTCGATGTGTACGAGGCACATCTTTCGAAGAGCAAGTACTTGGCCGGTGATTTCGTGAGCTTGGCTGATTTGGCTCACCTCCCGTTCACTGATTACTTGGTGGGTCCGATTGGAAAAGCTTACATGATCAAAGACAGGAAGCACGTGAGCGCGTGGTGGAACGATATCAGCAGCCGTCCTGCGTGGAAGGAGACTCTTGAAAAGTATTCATTCCCTGCTTAAGAACATGATGTTCTTGTTGTTGTTGGTGTTGTTAATTATGTGAGGTTAATAAAAACAGTGGAACTGTATGTCTCCTCTTATGTTATCTTACCACTCTCTTTTGTAACTCAGAACTCTTTGTGTGGTTGAGTAAGGTTTTTTAATTAGAGGAACTTAATTATCACGCTTCCATTAAGGATCATTATAAAGGTTTGCAAAATTTTGAAGAAATAGTATAACAGCATTCCTCGGCTCTTAGCTAGTATATCAGTACATTGGTTGCAATACCTCTTCCTATGTGTAAATTTAACCGAATTTTGAACATGGATTTCTAACATCTAATAATGGAGATGTATTGTTGAAGGTTAGGTTGATCATAATATCCTTACCGATAACCCTGTTGATGATCTTCTACTAGACGGTATCTTAGAGACCAGCAAGATTGCATAGCTGATAGTAGCAAAGAGCATTCCACTTCTTCTGGCGTGTGATGTCACTCAGTATTCTAAAAATCAGTTTAGTCGGCAAGTCGATTTAAACAAAATGATTTAAATACACAATCCATATCATAAATCGGTGTCTTTGTCACCTTGATAATGTGATGCATCATAATTACATTTTAGCCAACCACTTGAAGATCTCTTCCATTTAACTTACTTTGCACCCTGCCGTTGCTCTGCACATTTTATTTCTTTCTAGAAGTCACTCATAAACATTTACAGGTTGTTCTTAAAAAAAAACATTTTTACTAAAGGCAACCGTTTGAAACACTGCGTAACCATTTTGTACCGTTTTGAGTCGTCTGACTAGTAGGCCACTCATATTGCCCTCACACATGGTTGTAGTTAAGATGTTCGACCAATCAAAGTGGGTTAAATTGGGTTTTTGTGAGTCTTTTTCCCTCCCTGATATTGGATAAAAGTATAAAAGTAGTGACCTTGGGGAACCTTTATCTTTGAATTCTTTTCATTAGGATTGAATTGGTATTTGAGTCCACTGCACTACATAAATGTTAAAAGTATAAACTCTATTATGAGGATGATTTGCTCACTAATCTTTGTTTGATACATCTAATAATTTTGTTTACAGAAATAATGTGTGCCAGAATATAAATAACAAAATAATATTGGACAAATTTCATCACGTTTTGTTGATACTTTCTTGTCCCTACCAACCTAATCTTTACCTGCCAACTTCTGTTCTCCTTTTTCTGTACTGTCTAATTATACCAACCTTATCTAAATCATAAAAAATAAGTACTTAAAAGTAACTTGTATTATACTCAGATCATTATTTTCATTCAGTATGGTTCTGAGAATCATTATCGCATCTTTTTAGAATAAACTGGGATTATACTCATGTTCCCCAGCAGTCTTAATCTAATAAATAAACAAAGTGATCCTTTTGCACTATGAGATTCATTGTAATAAAGTAAATAACATTAAAGATAAAGGAAATAAAGATCATTTATTCAAAATTGTGATGGGACGTGTTGGAAATTTCCTAAGGAAAAGTCAAGAACGACGTGACTCAGAGCCGCCACCGACGATTTTAGTACTAAACAAGTGTAATACACTAATACTAAACAAGTTACACTTGTTTTTTAACAATACTAAACAAGTGCGACTGCGTTTACAATACGACCGCAAAAGCAGCTAACCGGTTTCTCTATAAGATCGCATCCTGACTCCTGAGAGAGTGGATATTAGAACTGAAAAGCAAGAAAGAAAAGATGGTGTTGACAATCTATGCGCCTTTATTCGCATCTTCCAAGAGAGCTGTGGTGACGTTGGTGGAGAAGGGAGTAGAGTTCGAGACTGTCAATGTCGATCTCATGAAAGGAGAGCAGAGGCAGCCTGAGTATATTGCCATTCAGGTTCTTCATCTCTCCCTTCTTTGATCATGTATCTAATTGTGTATTGATCTTAATATGTTCTTCTCTGTTGATCGATTTAGCCTTTTGGTAAGATCCCTGTGCTCGTTGACGGTGACTACAAGATCTTTGGTACAATTCTTTTCCTTCTTCTCAAGATTTTTGGAATCATACTCTTTTATTTACTGCGATCAACGCACGAGTGGAATGAAATGAGTTCTTGAATTATGAATATATATATATAAACATATACATATAGTAAGTATATATATTACTGGAGTTTGACTTTGACCAAGCTTACCAAGACGTTGTGAGATGCGATCTGAGATTTTGTTTGATAATCAGCAAGGTCTAAAAATTTTGGGGGAATATAAACATTTTAATATAAATTTTGTTATACAAAAATCAAATTATCAATCAAACCTATGTATATTAGTTTTTTTAAAAAATTTGGGAGGGAAGATGTGATTCGGCTTGACCAGCCTTGGACTAGATGCAGTTTGCGATTGGATATTAGGAGATTAGAACGTTAATGTTGAATATATGTATTGTTGTGTGAATGTTGTTAATAGGAGATTTCACTATACTTTGCAGAGTCGCGTGCCATCATGAGGTACATAGCAGAGAAATACAGATCACAAGGACCAGACTTGTTGGGAAAGACAATTGAAGAGAGAGGACAAGTAGAGCAATGGCTTGACGTGGAAGCAACAAGCTACCATCCACCACTACTAGCCCTAACGCTGAACATTGTCTTTGCACCACTCATGGGCCTTCCTGCTGATGAGAAAGTTATAAAAGAGAGTGAAGAGAAGCTTGGTGAAGTTCTTGACGTGTACGAAGCACAGCTTTCAAAGAACGAATACTTGGCCGGAGATTTCGTGAGTCTAGCTGATTTGGCTCATCTTCCCTTCACCGAGTACCTCGTGGGTGCTATTGGGAAGGCTTATATGATCAAAGATAGGAAGCATGTGAGCGCGTGGTGGGATAAGATTAGTAATCGTGCTGCCTGGAAGGAAGTTTCTGAGAAATACGCATTGCCGGTTTAGAAAAAAAAAACAATGAGATGGGGTTTGTTTGTTGTTGTGATGTGATTTGGGGATTTGTGTGAGGCTTTGTGTACTGTGTGGGTGTCTGTTTTCAGGTCAATGTCTTTTGTTTCTAATAAAAACTCACTCTGTTTTACCAAAAATATCAAAGGTTGTTGAATAATGAAAGAAACAACTAGGCATGGGCATCTGTAACAGAAGTTGAGATCTGAACCTCCACAACAACAGAATCCGTATCTCATGAAAAATAAACCGGGTTTTCTAGGATGGTATTTCACTATTTTGGGTATCAGATATTTATCCAAGCCCGAATGAATATCTGAAAAACCTAAAATTCAAACAACTTAAAAACGCCGACTTATTAATCATATGAATTAGTATCTGAAATGAGTTTTGAAACCTAACGTAGTCTCCCAAATAATCTATTTTATGTTTATTAACCTGAAGTATTATTATCAAAATTTGAATAGTTATAAATTCTTGTAGACAAGATAAAAGTAAAGCATTATCCCAAGAGAAGTTAAAGGAAACCGTAAACATTTATATGAATCCAAAAACATAGCATCATATTCCACAACTAAAAGATTAAACACACTTTTCCTCTTCATGTTGATGTTGTAATTAGGGTCCCTTGTACTAAAGGCGAAGGGGAAGGAAGGGGATTCCTTTGTAAGACAGAAACTCAAGAGGTTGCTGATACATAGACACACCTTGAGGCACAGGAAAACCAATGTCAACTCTTTTTGGTTTTGTTAAAACAATTGTCTCTCCAAACATTACGCAAACATCAAAAGACAATATTAATAATGTACGAAGGTCTACCAATTATTCATCAAGGCTGATGCTGAAAAGATTCAGGAGGTGGTAGATCATTGCGTGGAACATCAGATTCAGGAGATACTACCGTGATATCCAAGCTGTTACTTCTGTCTCGTTCAGATATTTCTCTTACATCAGAAACTCTTGCCTCTGTTGCCTGAATATCATTCCATTCGTTTTCTCCAACCGGAGCCTGAGCGTTTACTACCTCATTTTCACTCATATGGACTACATTCTCTCCCGGTATAGACGCTGTTCTTGAAATGCTCAAACATGCTTTATCCACATCCTTTTCTGTTTCTTTTGTCGTTGGAAGAAATATTTCGCCGTTGGTAGATTCAGTCTTCTCCTCAAACACTTGGTTTGTCTCAAGTTGCTGCCTGTTTATTCAAAAGATAAAAGAGACCTATGACACTTGTGAGTTTCCTAGGGAGATAGATTTAGATATGCTAACCTTTGAAGCTGGGTTTGTAGCATGTTCACATATGCTAAAAGCTCTTGCTTATCTGTCCATGCAGTTGCCTCTCTCTGAGAAGCTTCTTTTGCTTTTGCTTCACCACTTGCTTCTGCAACCCTCGCTTTCTCTTCGGCTCTTACAACAGCTCCTTCAAGTATGACCACACGCTCTCTGGCTTTTGCAAGCTCAGACCGCCACATGTGTGCCTCTTGGAGAGCAGAGTCTCTTTCCTTGATCAATTGATCTTTCTCCTTACTCAGAGCAGATGTCTTCTCTTCCAAGTCCTTTAGCTACATGGGTGATGCAACAATCAATAAACAACAATACATATACATAAAGATGATAAGACCTCTTTACCTTCAGTTTAGCTGCTTCTTGCTGTCTCTCTGAGTCTTTAGATAAGCGCTCAAATTCCAAACTAACAATTTTCCTCTGTTCATCCATTGCGTGAGCTGCAGATGCCGCCGCTACAGCTGCTTCCGCCGTCTCAGATAGCTTATCTGCTATCTCCTTAATGGTTGAATCACGAGAACGAAGTTCCCGCGACAACTTCTGTAACTCTTCATCTTTAACACGCAGAGTTTCCTGTAACATGTAAGCGGCTCAATAAAGTAAACCTGGACAGAAAGTAGAATAAACATGGTCGGTATGCTACCTTCATTATCGTCAAATCATCTAGTGGTCCATCGATCGGTTTCATTGCCGATATATTCAACGCATTCCTCAGAGAGACCTGCATTGCTGCTTGGATTTCTTTGGAACATTCTAATGCTGTTGAATTGGCAGCTGCAACAACGGTTGCAACAGTACCAAGTGTTGAGGAACCACTTCCGCTAAGAGAATCAACAGCCTCTTTATGTGCCTTTAAAACTAGTTGTGTCGCACTGAATATATTTCAAGGGTCAAACAAGAGTTAGATGAAATAAGTGGTGTGGCATCTCAAAGAGAAGACAAATATGAAGAAGGAGATGACTTACTGTAAGGTTGTAACCCAAGCTTTGGCTGCACCGGAAGTCTCTGCACACAGAAAGTAATCTTTCTTCTGTGGGGTACTAATATCTAAATTCATGTTAAAGAAAAACTCAAACTCTACATTAACAATCTCTTTTTAGACAAAAGGCATGACTATAAACTTGCCAACACTTTACTAGAAACAAGGATACATATACAGCAACCATTATATTTAGGAAGCCCCCTGAAACACAAAAAGAAATAGATTTGAATAATACGAATATAACATCTAATAAGGCTGATGATTCATAACAAAAGAAAAGAATGTAGCATGTCCATACTGGAAGTTGACAGGAGAGACAGTGATTGTGCTATTTTCATCAAACAGAATAGTTCCCTTGATAGTTGGTTCGTTTCGTCTTGTCCTGAATCATGGAAGTAAGTACACAAGAGAACAAAAGATATAATACTTATATCCACACAATAATGCTGCTAGTGCATAAGCAGTTGATATGATTACTCACTTGTACTCCATTTTCCCTGTGGTTGGATCAAGTATCACCCAACGTTCGTTCCATTTCCTCAGCTAATTCATACATAAACAGAAGCATTTCACATTTCGAGCAGCCACAAGACTTGTCAGAACGATTGAGGTTTAATCTTATAGAAGAACTCTATAATCAAGCAAGTCATCAAAAGAAACCACTATATAGTGTGAAAGCAGAGAACTTTATTTCAGCTAACAAGAAACCCAATCACCAAAGCAAGTGGCTACTGATCATTTCCACTCAAAACCGAACTTACAGTTTCAGACCGCTTGAAAAGTGGTCCCTGTAGCAAGTTCCGACCGGAGCTGGATGCTAGTTGCCGCTTGATCTTATCCAAGCTGTTCTCCGCAGCATCAACATGTCTCTGCTCGTTTCATCAGATCAATTTAGAAGTGTAAATCAGAAAACAGCAAAAAAGAATCAGACCAAGATCGATAGAGAGCAGAAAAGAGACCAGAGATGTGCCGTTTGAAGCCATGTTGATTGGGATCGGAAAGCTCTCCGATTGATCACAAGTGAATAGTTGGTGTTGGGTTTGGTTCCGCGGAATTGCAGATGGCTCTACCCGTTTTCACTCAACGTGATTAAATTGACTTAACCGGCCGGTTCGTATGTAGACCAGCTTCGCACGCCAAATAACCGGCTCTTGAACTTCTCTAATTTTTCTGTTTTTTTTTTTGGATATCAATCACATCAGGAGTACGAGGATTTGGAAAATACAAACATTTAAAAAAAATTATTTAAATATTTTATGTCCTCTGGTTAATTGTCTCATCTTCTAATCTATTAAAACACAATCATATAAATATAAACTAACCCTTAAACTTGTACAATATTTATAAGCCAATGTCATTAAGAATTAAATAAACCTATATTTAAGTAATCATTGTCTTTTTCCATATATTTTATTAAATCATTTTTTGAATCAAATATGCCTAAATTTTTGTGATCACCATATTTATTAAAATGATTTAGCTAAATTTTAGAAAAAAATAAATTTAATATTTTTAATAAATATTTCTCAAGTATCATAAAAAAAACTCCACACATTTAGCTTATAACGTTTAAAATATATGTATTTAAAAATTTAAAAATTATATATTTATCCATTACCATTAATTATTTTTAAAAATGCAATCTATCTATGCTAAAGTTTAACTATTTTTGAATTACTTGTAGAATAATATGGATTGTTTATGATCGAATATTCATTTTAATCTATATATATTTCAAATATTTTTAAAATATATTTTTATTCATTTCAGTTAGTATTAATTATCTTCAACAATATATTTATCTATATAAAAATTTAAATATCATAAAATTACTTGTAAATAATATTTAATGTTTATAATAGAATATTTTCTTTTTGATATATCTAAATCTCGCCATATGACCTATATATTTAATCAAAATTTTTAAATATTATATAGTTGGAAAACAATTCCGTGTTAAAAGAGACATTTCAAATATATCAATGGTTTAATATTTGTCGAAAGTTTAATATGACACACAGATTAATATTTGTTTCTAACATGTAAACTATTTCAGTATGATATTTATAAAAAAATTTAAACTATGATAAATATTTAAATATTAACTAATAAATGATTCAATAATAATTTTATATATAAAAGTGAAAATAAATATTCGTATGGACGTGCAAATCAAGTTCTAGTTCATCTGTTATTACACTAGTAGTGTGCGTTCAAAGCTTATTTGAACTGAAATTTTGCATTCCCGAGGATTTGTTTTACATGCCACCACATTATTGTCATATTTCGGCTTAGTTTTGGTATATAAATTCAATTCTTGTGTTATAAACTTTCAGTGAACTTTGTAAATGTATGTGTATGCAAACCTTCGATATAGTCTTTCTTTTAGGAAAAATGTCTTAGCATGATGTGATTCTAAAAATCAGATGCCTAGGTGGCCACCTAATTTTTTCTGTCTTTTTAAAATATTTTTTATTTATTAATTTGATCTAAAATATTATAAGTATAACTTATTTACATAATTTTGATAAAAATTACACCATATTAAATTTATATTTTTATATTTGTATACTTTATACAATTTAAACATGAAAATGTATTAGTTTATAAAAAAAATTAAAATATTTTATACCATATTAAACAATTTAAAATTTTGCGCTCCATAATTTATGTTCTCGATTTTTTCACTAAGCGTTAATCTGGTCCAGCTATCCGACTAGCACATAGCATCCTTCCTATTAGAACTATTACTATTAGATGCAGCATAAATATCTGTGCAGTGGTCTTATATTATTTTACTTCAAATTTGATTAATATTTGGCCTGTAAACGCAAATCATTACTTGGACAATTTATACGTAATTTTTATTTTTATAAATTATGCAATCCATCCGTATATGATATTACTTTTTTAAATATTGCAAATCAAAATTCAAAATTTTATCTTTTATTTTTACTTTTTATTTTGCCGTTTTAAGTGACCCGTATTTGTTATTATAGTGAGCTAAAATAATTTCTTTTATTATTTTACCACATTACTCACATACTTTTATTTTTTGCAAAAACAAAATAAAAAAATATTCTCAAATGAAGACAAATTTCCGTGTATGATTTTATCAACATATTTAATTATATATACTTCATCATTTATAAAGATGCAGAGTTACCAAAATAGTCGCCAAAATCTTAATTAATTGAATCTTTATATAGATGAAAAAACTAGTTGTATATATATATATTTAGAAAGTATAATTTAGCAAAAAAGTGTGACACAAGGGCGACTTAGACATATGCTATTAGTCAATTACTACTCAAATGACATTAAGATCTTTTTATGTGATATACGAATTAATAACTATGCATATGGGGGACTAGGTTTTTGAGACCTCCATAACTTCAATATAGCGATTCTTGCAAAACAATTGTGGATATTAATTCATTATCTATACTCCTTACTGGCACGGGTCCTAAAGGGAAATGACTACAACCGAACTTCTCCTTTGGAAAATCAACGAATATACTCACCATCATATGGATGGTGTAGTAACATGGCAGCGAAACCTCTACTCATTTTGGATGTACGGAAAACAATTGGTACAGGTCAAGATACGAGGGTTTGGAGTGAGTCTTGAGTTTCAGACTCAGTGGCTTGACCACCTAGACCTGCTGATCACATTGTTTATAAACTATCCTAACTTCGTGTTCAGTTCTTTATTAAGAATGATACCAAGGAGTGGGATATACAACTTTTACGAGATTTTTTTCATCCAGAAGATATCCCTTTGATACTTGGGAGAAAGTCTTCTCGCTCTCTTACTCTGGACAGATATGTTTGGAACCACTCAAAAATCAGGAGTGTACTCAGTTAAACCCGGATATGACCTACTCCAATCAATCAAGAGGAATATCACACAGGAAGAGGTTTTAGAACCATGTATCACAAGCCTTCAGAGTCACATGTGGAAGATAAAGGCCCCTAGTAAGATGGAGCATTTCTTGTGGCGGGCTATCTCGGTCTGTGTGGCGACGGCAGAGAGACTCACTTATAGACACTTGAGCACCGATAGGAGTTGTCCTAGATGTCCTGACCCAATGGAGTCGATTAATCATTTTCTTTTTGAATGCCCACCAGCCTTGAAGGTTTGGGCTTTATCGGACTATCCGTACCTTTCGGGTGATTTTCCGAGTAGATCTATATACCAAAATATGAACTTTCTATTTTGGGAGAGAAAAGAGGTGGCTCCACTGAGACCACAATTCGATACCTTCCCATGTATCTGTTGGTACACTTGGAAGGTGAGGAACAATAAACTCTTCAATGGGAAAGTCGTTTCCCCTATTGACACTCTCCAACACGCGTCTTTTGAGGCAGAATGTTGGAGGAAGGCTAATGCAAAGGAAGAAACTAATGAGGATAATGACAATCTTCTTTCTATAGTGGTCTAGACAGTGCCCCCTTGGACACTCTAAATCCCTACCTGCCAAATTATGCGTCATGGATTGATAATGGCAGTGTTAGTGGCTTAGGATGGAGACTTAAGGATCATATGGGCTCTGAAGTCTTCGGATTACGGGCGTGTAGAAGAAGTCTCTCAGCTTTATATGCTGAGATGGAAGGTTTACTTTGGGCAGCTTCATGTATGAGAGACATGATGATAACTTCAATACGATTTGAGACGGACTGCTCGGACCTAGTGGACATAACTGGCCGACCTTCACGACCGAGATTGAAGTATTCCAGAGATTGCAAGAAGAGTTTGCGGATGTGAGTCTGTCTCATATTTTCTGGAGTAGGAATGGTCGAGCGGACGCGTTAGCAAAAGTCTATTTTATTTCTTCTAAATTGATAAAAATATAGAAATATATCTTTCAATTTGAAAAATTGAATCGATAAATATACATTCCAAAATTGATCTTACAGAAAGAATAATATTAGTTTGGATAATAATACAATATATTTGAATTTATTTTTGTCAAACACATATTTTCTTTCTTTTTGAATGATATTATATATTATTATTATTTTCACGTTTAAGGTTTAACTATATAAAATATAAAATAAATTTAATTTAACATGTGAGTTCAGAGGCGAAAAATAACTTCACAAATATATATATCATTATATTCTATTATTATATTCTTTTAATTTGAAAATAATTACGTATTAAAAATTTATCAATTTTCTCTTTTCAATTATATTCAATTAAAATTTTTACTTTTTATGAATATTTGTTTATGTTTTTTCTGTTTTTGAATTTTTTATTAAAATATATTTTTTCGGATAACAACGCAATATATATAGAAATTATTTTTTATTTTATTTTAAATATATATTAGATTATGGATAATTCTTATCATTATTATTAATTTAAATTATTTATCTAATCAAATAAATATTAAATTCGTTTTTTTTTTTAGTTGATTTGTATATTTTATTCATTAAGGATATAAACGATATTATCCACTCTAACTTTTAACGTGAGAGTTTCGTTGCGAAAAATCACTTCGCAAATAATAGTATATATAGGATTGCATTTTCGGTACATGATTTCGGGCCAACTCTCATAAAAAGCCCGATTAGATATAAGGCCATTGGCAAATGTTTGATTATATTATTAATCACAAAACTTTCTGATATTTTTAATTGTTTTTTTGTTAAAATATTAATTGTTTTTTTATATATGAAGTGATTAATAGAAAAATTAAAATCAAATTAAAAAATTAGAAGAACATACAAAAAATAAGGAGTATTAGTATACGATCATCTAAAGAGATGCTGATGATGTCCAAAGCAAAAATGCTAATCTTTTGGTGACAAGAGAGCAACACGCGCAGAGAGGTTGGGAGAGAGAAGCTAGTTTGAGTGAAGACGATTTTTGAAGGACTTGAACCCTAGGGAGAACTTGAACATTAACATTAACATTAATATTAACATTAATGGAGTTGGTTTGAACATGGTTTTGTCAAGCCCAGCATTGAAAAGAGAATGCCACTATTGAGTATTGGCAGTAACGTCTGTGAGTACGGTGCACTCTGTCCAATTCATCTTATTAATAATATATATGATGTTGTTCTGGACCTAGAAAACAAAGCTCGCACGTATTTGCTATTAAACTCTTTTTCAAAAGACATTTTCTTATCAGAATTAATCTTACTAGAGATTTTACCGCGCTACGCGCAGTTAATTTTTCTATGAAATTTATATTTCAATTTTTAGAATTTAAAACAGATTGATTTAATTTTGGTGTTTATATTATATCATTTGTCTATTTTTGATAAAGTAGATTAAATGATATGAAGAACATATGTATAAGCCTAAAGGGTTTTTTTTTGCATGTGATAATAATCAAATGATATAAAATTCGTACTAATGAGGGAAGGCATTCAAATTAAGTTGAATTTATGTCATGGATTTAAAAATCATAGACCAAAATGATATACTAAAAGAAAATATCCACATCTCGTTTGTTACAAAATAAAAAGAAGGAAAAAGATAACATCTCAATTTACAATTTAACACCTCTGAACCCTTGATTTGAGCGCTACCATCTCTTCAGTTCTTGGCCTAATTCTCCTGAATAGAAGCACAAGGTATATGATTCAAATCATATACCTTAGAGAAAAGAAATGCGAGCAATAATTCCAGAATTTTTCGGAGAACTGGCGTAGGTATAGGAAAGCTGGCATAACCACTTTAAGCCAAGATTTCCAAGTATGAGATACAAAACCAGAGGGTTGATCCCTTCTTCTGCGGCAGACCTGGATGGAAAAAAAATCCAAACATAGCTCAATGTTGTCTTCTTATCAGCAGTATGTATGTGTAAGACTTTCAGAATTTAAAACTAAAAAAAATAAGAGAGAGAAGGGAGCAAAAAAAACAGCTTCAGCTTATATATGAAACTTAAAACCAAAAACTCAAACTTTGGGAAGCATCGGGTAGAAAAGAATCTATAATAGTTTAAATCGATACATACTCGGATTTACTCAAGTATGATACTCCAGTAAAAGATATCGATCTTGTTATGATATGGAAGTTACAAGTAATCGGTAACAGTTTCTGGACTCTCAGCAAAGGCCGATTATATCCATTACATTATACATGAAACAATGCCTCCTGACCAAGTCCACCAACAGTATTATGGTTCATTGGTCAGAAACATAAGCTAGATATAAGGACTCTAAAGGTTCAACATGTTATCATTTAAATGAAAATTCTACAACACTGCAAAGAACGATGGTACCTCATATAGCCCACGCTTAACCGGTACACCAACTCTCTCCTCTTCAACTTCATAAAGAGTAGAAGACACATAAGCTTGTAAAGGAGTTTCAGTCAACTGCTTATTCAATTTATTTTTAGGAACAACTTGTGGTATAGGGCCTTTGCTGCAATCTGCATACTCTTTCCACCAGTGAGGAAAACTCATCTTCTCTCTGTAGAACAAACTTCCCAGGAAACATCAGCTCACAATTTAATATACCAAGCACACGTTTACACTTGTATAAAAATGACAGTTACTGAAACCGTCTCTTGTAAAAAAAAAACTAAATGAATCATATAGATCCAAAGGTTAAGGACATATATTAACTCGCTTTTGATTCAGTGGATCTATGCAATGAGATAAGGTTCTATGGATTTTGGTATGTTCTATAGAAAACTCAAAAACACAAACAATTATTCTTTTTATATTTATTCGAAATAGGAAAGCTAACAGTAGCTTAATTATCCAAGCTAATATAGGAGGAATCCTAACAGATGATCAAGTGAAGCTACTATATTTCTACCGAGATCGCTTATGTGTACCTGGTGAGAATCGTTAGCTTCAGGGTGTTGGTGGCCTGCCTTGGCTTTCGTAAGCAGAAAAGCATCATCTGAGTTTCCATAACTTGCAAGGAATCCAGGGGCTGACATCAACATGTTCGCAAATTTATAAGTAAATTTTGCAAGTAAAGGTTTAAACTAAGCCTTAATCTGCCTCAGCAGCTGTAGTTGCTGCTCTAGTAAACCTCAATTATGGTGATGAATAGTAATACACCACATCTGATATGAGCTTCAATTTAATTGACGAAATATTTTCCATATTTAGTCAACTGACCGTTTTTACCTTCGTATATCATTGAGATATGAACGCTGCCTTTTCTTTCACTCATCCCTTCATGTAGCTTTAATTTTTGACTGTGTTAAACCTGCAAAGAAATAGAGTGTTAGTTCTCACTTGAGATACAATTCTTGAGTGGTGTTAGCGATTGGGCATGAGCCGTCGTATAGCCACATATTGCAAGAGAGATGTAAGGTATACTGGGAGGAATAAGGGAGGCAAGCTTGAGAAGCCATTACTTTACCCAAAGAAAAAGAATCAATTTTCTACAATTGCCTACGTTCTCAGGTCTACTCCACATTACTGTGAACCTAATGATAATATTAAAAATTTAGAAGCCATTAAAATACGACTGTAGACTGGGATCTGGGAAAATTCAAACCTGAATAAACGCCCCCGTTTAGCTCTTGTTCTTTTTTTATGGATTGAAAGCACAAACCCAAGTCGAGTCGCAGTCAATCGACGAATCCCAATCTGCAAAAAAAAAAGCTTATTAAAGGAATATTACAAACTCTTCTCTTCTTTCTCGCTTCAGGCCATATCCTTGAACAATCTTATGATAATCAAATGCAATGATTTTATACAGAATTTCAGTGACATAACTACAGCTAATGTTGAAACCTTTCATATATAGTGTTATATAAACACAAACGATTGAAAAGAAATAATATGACATGGTAGTCAAGTTGGCTCAGGATCTCATTCTCACCAACTTCATCAGTCAGCCTCAACTGCTTTTTGTTTAGCATACGCTTCTTCTGTCAGCTGAACAAACAAAACTATTAGAGAAATCCATTAATCAACAAAATAATCCAAAACCCTTAAAAAGCGCAGTAAGATGTGAAGCCACAGATTGATTAAGGAAGAAGTTTACTGACTTCTTATTCCTAAGAGGAGCAACGATCTTCTTCTTGATCACATGTTCATCGAAACCCTAAAATAAAAATAAAAAGTTGTGAGTAGAAACTGAAAAGGAAATAGAGAGTTTGTAACTGGGTGAGGAGATGATTTATTTCAATTGGGATGTCGATTGAAAAAATTGCAGGCAAAATTTAGGGGAAGATTAATTGCAAAGGAAGATGGGTAACGGAGAGAAACCGGTGAAGATAAGGGGAAGAGTCAGGAAGTTCAACGCTTCAGCCGAACTAAGGATTTGGGTAACAGGCTTGAACTTGGCCAATGCAAAGACAGCCCAAACAAAGGCCTCAATATTCTTTTCATTCGATAGCAAGTAGTAGTGACATGGCGAAATTTAACTTTTTGATTGGTCAGAATATTTAATCCGACGTGGACAGCTTCAAAAGGTTCTATTAAGAACTTTTAATAGTGTGTGATTTATCTAAACTTTCAATGAAGATTTATACTGATATTTCAATAATCTTCCTCTCAAACTAGACAACACACAAATTTTAGGCTTTTAACTTCCAGCAAAATCTGATATCCATTTTGTTGTACTCACCAACACAGTTGTTCACCTTATTTTTTGAAACATTATAAAAAAGATTTTGATCATAAGACACCAACACTACAAGAAAACTAAGATTTTAGTAGGAAAATAATTCCTCGTAAATTTACTACGTGTTTACTTCGGGTTTACGAGGAAAACATGTTTCCTCGTAAACTCCTCGTAAAGTTATGAGAAAACGATTTCCTCGTAAGACCGTAGTAAACTTACGAGGAAACTACGTGGCAAAAGACCATTTCCTCGTAATCTCGTAATAAATACTTTCCTCGTAAAGTCCTAGTAAATCATTACTACGAAATTAGGAGGAAATGATCTTTCACTTCAAATTAGCGAGGAACTGGATAGAAAATATCTAATTTAAATCTAAAACGTGTTTTGTACCTATCTTTCATATCAATTTCCTAGTAAATGCTCAGATTCGAAAATTTCTATAAGTACCACCATTTGTGATTCATTTCAAACACACCAAAAAAAATCAGCTTTAAGCTTGATCCAAGACAAAAAAATGTTCTGTCCAGGAAGTATTTTCGAGTTGCGGAGGTGGATGTATTCACACAGAGATAATAATGGGAGAGTGATGAAATAATTTCTCGAAGAGTTGGAGACGTTTATGCATCAAGCAGATTCTATACCACTCACGCAGGAAAGTGGTAAGATGTTATGTCCTTGTCGGAAATGCTGCAATACAAAACTAGGCTCTCGTGAAAATGTTTGGAAGCATTTAATAAATATAGGTTTCATGCCATATTATTATATTTGGTATCAACATGGAGAAGATGCTAGTTGTAGGAATGAAGGTAGCAGTAGTAATAGCAATTTTCAGGTTGAACCGGTTGATCATTTGCGTAATGAAAATAGCTATCATCACCAAGAGGAACAAATGGTAGATTGTGATAGGGTTCATGATATGGTAGGTGATGCATTTGTAACT